TCACTGTCGATCACTTAACGTATACACCCAGCTTTTATCATCACCTAGCATACTTCAGAACTTAAATGATGATTATGGTACTGATACTTATGATAATAATAGTAACAATAATAATGGTAATAATAATAATAATAATAATAATAATAATAATAATGATAATAATAATAATAACAATAACAACAACAATAACGACAGCAATAACAACAACATTAACAAAAATAACAACAATAACAACAACGACAACAATAACAACAGCAATAATGATAATATTAACAATGATGATATTAACAAGTATATAAACGACGATAATAATAAAAGCTAGCAATAATAAATAATAATAATGATAATAATAATAACAACATTAATGATGATAATAATAGTAATAATACCAATATCAATAAAAATGATGATGATGTGTATAATGATCACAATAATAATGATGATGATGTGTGTGTATATTGATCACAATAATAATGGTAATACTAACAATAGCAACAATAACAACAGCATCATTAGCAACAACAATAACAACAACCACGACGATGATGACGAAGACAATGATAGTACTGAAAATGATAATAATAACAATAATGATAGTAAGACTGATAATAATTATAATCATATGAAAATGATAGAAAATGTAATGATACTAATAGTCATGAAAAGGATAATGAGAATAACAACAATCCTTAGCATTATTATTGTTGCTACTATTGTTATCATTACTATTAATGTTATTATTATCATTATCTTTATCATTATTGTTATTATTATTATCATGATCATCATCATCATCATTATGATCATCATTATTGTTATAATAATAATAATAATAATAATAATAATAATAATAATAATAATAATAATAATAATAATAATAGTAATAATAATTGTTATTATTATCATAATTATTATTATTTTATTATTATCATTATCATTATAATTATTATTATTATTATTATTATTATTATTATATTATTATTGTTATCATCATCAGTATTATCGTTATTATCACTACCATTGTGAATATCATTATTGCTATTGTTATTATCATCATCACTATCATATGATAACGATAATCAAAATGATGGAGATGATAATAATAATGGTAGATGATGAAAACAGTAATGTGAAATGAGGATAATAATTGCAACCATTACGATAAAAATGGTAACCATATGATAGTCGTATCAAAATAACAATGGTAATGATAACAACAATACTACTATTACTACTAATGATAGCAAAGATAATGATAACAATAAAGATGATGATAATAATAATTATGAAAATAATAATAAAAATAGTAATAACAATGACAACAGTAATAGCAACAACAAAAACAATGATAATGTCAATAATAAATAAGGATAATGATAATGTCCATAACAAGAACCATAATAATACTGATGATATCATTAACCAAAACATCAACAAGAATCACAGTAACATCAGACAACATTGATTATGTCACTCTTAATAACAACAATAGTAATGATAACAATTGTAGAGATATAATGTACCAGTTTTCATAACCACACCAAAATACACGATGTTGGGAATGAATAGATTCCGCGACATAATTCCTACATAAATGTGAACTAGAGAGTGTACGAAAATTGTTGAAAATTGAAATTGAAAAGCCATCGGTACGAAAATTGTTGCGATCGGTTATACGAAAGTTTTGTGAAAAAAAACAATCCACGCATTGTTAAGGTGCCGTCACACTACCACGCTTTTCCGTCAATGTTTGACAATTTTCCCAAATTTTGTCCATTTTTGAGCGAATTGTCGATTCTCCAGTCAGACGATAATGATCGTTTCCGTCTGAAAACCTTGCCGTCAACTTTCTCAGCCAAATATAGTGAGATCAAGAGCTATATTCGAGAATGTTTGTATTTACGTTAAATATAATCGCCAGAAACTTGAAGGAAAAAGTGCTAGTGTGAGACAGAACCAGAGAACCCGCCATTTTTTTTTTTTTTTTTTGAATGCCTGGTAGAAAGATACCGCCACGACACCCGGAAGTCACGTCGCCAGTACTAGCCGGCAATTCCAGGAACCCACCACATGCGACATCCACGGGGCATATCAGCCGAAGATGCACAATTTTTTCGAAATATTGCAAAATACGTCAGTCAAAATACATATAATATGCGGTCTGAGAAAAGCGAGGAGATCGACGGGTGGCGAGCACAGGAGGCCGGCAACGGGACCAACGAGTACGATTCTCTACGACTTCTCGGCGCCGAAATCCTCATAGTAGATGTCCTTATCTACACACGAACCGTAGCAGAGCAACTGCGAGCTTCTTCCACAGCGTCTCCGTGACCACAGCACGGCTGGTTGATTGCAGCTTATATATGTACATGTATGTATATATTTATGCATTGTCATTATTATTATTATTATTATTATTATTATTATTATTATTGTTGTTGTTGTTGTATGATTCGTTTTACAATAAATTCGTCAAAAACATTTTGAGTTTACATTTGCCATGTCTTCTTTATTTATTTTACGTCTTTATTATGCCATATCTAAGCTGCAACATGAGAATTACAAAACTAAATTCACGTAGAATATGTGATATAGGCCTATAAACAATCGCTGATAATCATCGCCTGTAAAATCTGTCCAATATGCAAATCGTTCAACGTGCCGATATCTAAATGGATCTGCTCATTAACTACCGCTTTCTATTATCTCTCTCCCACCCTACCATGCTCTAATTCGCCCCGCCCCCACCCCTACTCTCAGCTCTCTCCTAGTGACGTCATAGGCTTTATCAAACAAAGCTGCGCAGACCTCCGAAGTGTTAAGTAAGGATAAGTCCGAAATGCGAAGCTGAGCCTCGCCCGGGCTATGGGGGAGCCAGGCCTGTGCCGACAAATGCCGACTCGATCAACGTGTGTCAGCGAGTGCTGACGCGACAAAGCTTCGTCCTTACCCGCCGTGGTGCCCAGCCACAGTAGTAACCTCCGAGCGACAATGGCAACTTCTCGCGCCTGGGCGGGGCGCGAACCGCCGATCCCTCGGATGAGAAGCCGACACGTTACCACTGTAATAACGAGTGGAGTCGCTCGCGCCAGAACCAACTCCCTGAGTCTTAGCATCACTGTTATTAAACTTTCATGCTCAACTTCATCCAGATCTGTCAGCCTTCTCTTCTTATGAAGATGAAGACCGACTTGTTCTGGCGGGAAGAGCAAGAAGCTGCATTCTTTGTTTCTCTTTTAGAATAATTCCTCATTCTCCATCAGACGCCTGCGGGAATGATCCCTGCGTGCAACCTATTTCAGAGATTCGTAAAGGATAGTCAGTGGTAGTGTTGTTCATTGCGTTTAATTTTGGTTTTCATTGTGAATGTATCAGCTTGAAAATGTTTGATGGCATTTTGTTAGATATGCCAATCTCAGTTTATGCGGTCAGCATTGCCGGATTACTCCTTCGGCTGACAAGGCCCGCCAAAAGCCCATGCAACCTTTTATTTTCTTTTAGTTTTAAATGTTGACAGTTTGAATACAGCAAATGCGCCCATGGAAATGAGTCGGATACGAGAAGCTAACGGTGCAGGAAACATTATTATCTCGCAGCTGCAGATTACAGCTGTCGAACCGCGTCTCTATTGAGCGTGGCTTAGCTCAGTAGTTCCTCCGTGTCTCCGAGGCATGTAAGACTGAAAGACTGTATCTGAAAAGAAAGCAAACTTCGTTAAAAAAGAAAAGAAATTTGAAGACATCAAAAGGCAGCTGCTTTCTATATTTGAAGGTATCGTATTACAGTAGTAGTTTTAATTTTTTCCCCTTCAAAATCAAATTCGAAATCACGCAATCATCGCTTTGTTTACTTAAGAAATCTCTGCCTATCACCCTATTCTGAAGAGTTATCGATTGCAACTTATCGCTCAGGCACTCGAGGTCAGATGTTCATTCCGCACGTGCCCGTCGTTGGGGAAGCAAGTTGTGCAAGTAAGTCTAGCAAAACCTTGACTACATAACTGCGATAAAAGTCGTGGATTAGGCCGTTACTTGTCTCTTGGACGAAAATGGCCGTTGATGTCGGACCGCTGTGTACAGTCAGTATCCTTACGGCTCTTTGTTAGCGTGCTCTGCCAGATGACGTCATACGAATTGGTCCCGTGAGACGCTTGCCCGTCGTTGGGGAAGCAAGTTGTGCAAGTAAGTCTAGCATCAGCTTGACTGTATGACTGTGTGATTGGTGGATGCGGTCCGATAAAAGTTACTTCGATCTCTTGGGCGAAAATGGCCGTCGCGGGAACATCGGCTGGACGCTTGCTACGTGAGGCTTGCGACCGATAGCGACGGATTCATTTGTTTTTAAAATCATAATGTGATGATACTGATGATAAAGATAGGGAGATGGTGATATTGGTGATAACAGTGATAAGGATAATGAGGTAATAATAATGATAATAGGGGTAATAATAATAACAATAATAATATTGATAACAGTAGTAAGATTAATAATAGTAATATAATGAAATAGTAGTAGTAATGTAACAAAGTAGTGTAATTGTAATAAAATAACAGCAAAATAGTAATGGTAATAAATAAAATAACAATAACAATAAATATAATAATTAACAATAGCAAGAAAGGTAATATCAATTGTAGCAGTTGTCATAATGATAATAGTAACACGAATAATAATGGTAATAATAATAATAATAATAATAATAATAGCTGTAACAACAACATTAGCAATAACAATAATGATAACCAAACCAATAACAATAACGATAATGATGATAATAAGCATACTTGTAGCACTGATGATAATGAGATTAATAATAATAACAATGGTATAATTTTATCATTATCTCTAGTATTGTTATCATTATTTTTATTTCATAGTATCATCATCGTTATCATTTCATATCACTTTAATTGATATTAATGATGATAATGGTGGCGACAAAAGATAAAGATAAAGATGAGGATATTAATAATGGTAATAACATTACAATCAGTAATCGTGATGGTAATCATTACCAACTTGCTATTTTACTGCTATTTTCATCATCATTATTATCATTACTATTATCTGTATAATCATAATCATTATTACTATTTAAAAAAATAATTATCCTGATCATTTGATGGTATACGTGTTCAGAGGTATTTTCAAACCTATTGCCCGAAAATACGATCATTAAATATTTTGTTAATATATAATTTCATCTATAGCATATACATTTTGGAAACGCGTTGTTTCATTATTGCAATGCCTTAAAGGGCTTATATGAAGTAACAACTGAAAATTTTAAAAAGGGAGAATTAGCTCGCAAACCATCTCTCTAATATGAGTAAAAAAGGAAATCTGAAAATAATTCCCCAAAATTGATTCATTTAAATTTTCCGAAGTCAAGTTATATTTTCCCGCGAAAATCCGGAACCCGGATGTGTGACGTCAATTCCAGAACACGATCACGGCATTCTCTGCATTCAAGACATTGTACATGGCGGACTCACGACAAGACTACAGCGGCAGTGAAATCAGTGGTTTCATCGGATTATTCCGACGAGGACATTGGTACAACTTCTTCAGAGGGTGTTCATGTCTTCGAAGAGTTGGAAGAAGAAGAGGAATATCAAGGATTGATGGTTGTTGGACCGTACATGCACGAGCCCGACGCTGTGGATGTCGTGGAAGTTGTGCCAAACCAGCCAGACATGGAGTGGCGTCGAGACCCGATGAGATTGAATGAATGGTAATTTTCTAAATTATTTTTTTTATAGTCCAACGTTAATCCGCTTCTGTATTTTACAAAACTTCTGCAGGCTGAGCTATCTCTTGTCTGCACCCGTGGCGCAGGCCTACATCCATTCGCGAGTGGAGGGGCATCGGTATTTATTTGTGTTGTGCTTTTTGGGATGTACCTACCCTACCTCTGAGTAGTAATACATGCACACTTGCAATGCATTCGGCATACTGTGTCGTACCCACGCAATGAATGTTTGCTATGCCGCCCAATGGCTCTTTCAGAGTTTGTTTTGCGCTGTTGTGATCATGACAAATATAAATTGGAAATGGCCTACCGTTTTGCAAATCCCATGTCGAAAGCCATTCTGTTCGCAAATCAATCGGGATCGAAGTGTTTCAGGCAAAGTACGCTGGTTGGCACAGGCTGAAAGTTGCTCCGCTTGGCATGCACAAAACGTGTCCACTTCCTTGCTCTGTCGCGGTCTTTTTGTCATTCAAATAGCTGGTGACATGAATGGGAACAATGAATTACTACACAACGCCGCGGCAACCTTTGTTACAAACTTTGATAACTTGAAACTGGGACAATTCCATGATATCCCTGAGTCGCGGGTGCGCTGTGTGTATCACGCTTTTCAACAAGATTCTCCCTGGTCCTGGGAGTGACGTCACAACCGGGGATTGCCGAAGACCGCCGAGTTTTACATCTTCGTTTCTAAGGCGTCGCTATGGGATTTTTTGGGGGGGATACCAGAGGGTCTCTTCGATTTTTTTTTGCATGAATAGGCTAAGCATACATTATTGAACAATATTGAAAGAAAAAAAAAAAATGCACGATAATTACTTCACACTTATATATCGTAACGTGTTCTATACGCCCTAGGAAAATTAGTCCCATATTAAAATTCAAGTCAACTCTCTCGTGTGCATTCGTAATGGCGGGGTTCAAGATCAGTGGCAACAGGCGTGTATTACAGCCTCACCCGCTCGCTACGACTCTGAAGCCCTTTGTACTAGTGAGTATTTAATAATTCTCTTGTATTTTTATTATTTCCTTTCATTGTTCCTTCAAATTGAAAAATAGCTGATCACAATAACCCTTAGCCTTTTTCCATTCCTCTTTGCACATTAGGATCTTTCAATGTCATTATTTTCACTTCCATTTTATCGTTCGTATTTCTGTTTTAAAGATATGTTTTAACCATTTTAGTCCTAACGGGATCTCTGGATCCTGCCTTACAATCGTCGCCATTGTAACTCGGTTTATTGCTGTCAGCCAGAGATTGCCTGTCGGGAGACTTAGCTCTCATCGATAATTGTGACTCATCGGTCATCTGGCACCTGCTGTGTTTAAATGTCGCGAAAATGACCGATGAATGAAAACTTTTTCTTGACATTGGACCTGCAGGATTTCACCAGTCTTTCCGACCACGTCTGGATGGTTTATAGGGTGAGTATCCATTCTATATCTACATAAGTTTTAGAAAAAAAAATATATTGTTTATCATGAAATCATCCTTTTGTGATAAAACTTCATACAGACTTCATATATGGGGAAAATATTTGCATGATATACCGTGTACTTTTGCTTCTTAGAATGAAGCCTAGAATTCTGATCTTGCATTATATTGTGATTCACAGTAAAATGTGAATTGATTTTTTTTATTGTATTTTCCCGATTATAAGCAAACCAGTGGCAGCATTATAAACATATTACAGCTGCATGGACCTTGTAGATCATGAATATTCCTCGGGTAAGTTGCAGAAGATATTATAATACCTACCGTTAAAATATCATAGAATATATATGGTCCATAGAAAGTAGGTGATGAGCAACTGAACTGTTTTGCATTTTTTAATAAATACTATCCTTGTTGAAGCAGTGAAGCCAAGTCATAATTTTTTTTGCTAACTTTTACAGGTATGGCAGCACAATCGAGGCCTGGACAACGAATCAATGGCAGTATTACTGGAAAATCTCCCGTCGGATTATGGAGACAGACACTGAAGATGACGAAGATGATGAGGCTCCAGGTCCTAATGACCATATCAACAATGATCCACTGTGTTGAATAGTTTTGGCTTCTTTGACATGGCTATTATTAATGGCAATGTCATATACAAGGAAACCATTGCAGAAAGTGCATCAGAGAGAAGGGAAAGTGCAAGATGTGCTCCATAAAGGGTGTTGAGTCCAGGCCATACTCGATCTGCAGCCGCTGTGGCATTCATCTATGCTGCAATGCCTCCAAGAATGGTTTCGGGGAGATTCACTCAGAAGAGGATATCATGTATATACTATTTTTTTTATAAATAAAATCTGGCAATGGAATTGAGTACTACAGTGTTAGCCATATGATTTTCAAGGACAGGAAAGGTTGTCAATCTTGAATACACACACACACACACACACACACACACACACACACACACACACACACACACACACACACACACACACACACACACACACACACACACAATATGATAGGAACAACGAGAGAAAGAGAGTGTGTGAGAGAAAGAGATTGAAAAGAGAGAAAAGAGGGAGACTGTGTAGAGAGAGAGAGAGAGAGAGAGAGAGAGAGAGAGAGAGAGGAGAGATGAGAGAGAGAGAGAGAGAGAGAGAAAGAAAGAAAGAAGAGAGAGAGAGAGAAAACAGACAGACAGAAACGAGAGAGAGAGAGAGACAGAAAGACAGAAAGAGAGCAAGTACTGTGACAAAGATCGAGGGGAAAGCAATCAAAAGAGAAAAAAGAATGATGGAGGGTGAACATAAGTTATTTCTTTTCCACATGAATACAATTCCTCACATAAATAATCAATATTTTTTTCTAAAAATGTATTGAATGTAGTATCTCTTTTTGTTTGTTTTAGTGCAATATTACTTTGAAGTTAATTGCTGATATTTGCACTGATTTCTTATGTATAATGCAATATTACATGTCATTATATATATATATATATATATTATATATATATATATATATATATATATATATATATATATAGATGAAATTTACTTTCCTATTAAGAGAAATTAAGAGTAAAATTTGAGGCCGTTGAAAGAAAGCTAAAATGATTAGGATACAAAAAATAAAAAATAAAAAAAAATAAAAAAAATAAATAAAATAAAATAAAAAAAATAAAAATAAAAACAGGGACGCAAACAGTGCAGATGGCTTCCCCAGATGCCCACAGATGGCGCTGAGCGAGGCACTAGGCTGTCAAGTAACAATTAAGCGCAGATATTAAATCTGCACATGCGTAGAATGAGCTAGTTATCCCCACTAATTATACATTAATACGTAATAACAACGTCATTAACTCCATACAAATATGAAGTTGTCATTAACTTAATTCTTAGCAACAATGAACCAAGTTTTGGCATTTTCATGTCAAACATGTATATGACAGTTGAACAATATGGGATATTCAAACTGCAGATATAACCCTCAACAGTGAAAAGAAAATCCCACAGAAAATGTCAAAGTGTACAGACACAGAGAAAGCAATGTCATTTCCAAGGGTTGGAAAATACCCCCATCTTCTTATGCAAAACGTTAATATGATGGGACCACCGAGTACGATTCTCGGCGACCAAGGACTAGGACCTTGTTCGACGACATTCCCGGCATCGAAATCCTCGTGGATGATGTCCTCGTCTACACACAGAACGTAGCAGAACAACTGCGAGCTTCCCCTACAGTGTCTCCGCGAACACACATCTGTGGAACCCAATACGTGTGGAGTCGCTCTCGCCAGAACCATCTTCCAGAGTCTGAGCATCACTTCAGCTTCCATGCCCAGCTGCATCCAGACCTGTCAGCTTCCTCTTATGAGGATAAACTCCACTTGCTCCGGTGGGAAGAGCAAGATGCTGCATTTATCACTTCCCTCTCAGGATATTTCCTAAATATTGAGGAGGGATGCGTCAGGAAAGGTGTGGGAACAATATCTTACTACTGCCTGTGTGGGTCCCTCTGCATCCTCGAGGCCGACCAAATGCCGCTGTTGCAGCCCAGACACACGGGGACCAACGCAGAGCTGATGCGGTGCTAATGTAAGCGGTCAAAGTGCTGCTAATCCAGCCTCCAGAGGAAGAAAGAAACGGAGGTTTAGTACATTTACGAAGGACTGTTATAATCAGAGGTTGCAGTATCAGGAGAAACAACACAAGAAAGTTATGAAATATGGAGATCGTTGTTTGCTTATCCAGGTATTAGAAATACAACAATTTCCACCCTCGGATTTCTTTCCTGTTGTAAAATAA